CAATATTTTAAACATTACAGCCAGTATTAAATGTATAGAGCCTGCTCAAAGCTGTTTTTACCTTGCTGGAATATGGTCCAGGGATGAGCAGTTTCAGTGCTTGACGTTTCAGCTCCATCAGCCGTGTGTTGCAGTTCTCACACCATATCACCCTCTCACTTCCCGGGGAACTTCCACTTCCTGAGGCCGGTGACCCGGTCCCAAAACCCGGGGAACCACCGAGGGAACCTGGTGATCCAGTGCCAATTCCTGGGGAGATGGTTCCAGGAGATCCAGAGAAGGATCCAGGTGATGAGATCCCAGAGCCTGGGGAAGGGGTGCCCGTGGAGCTGGGCATGGAGCCGGCTCCCTCAGGTGTGGGACGAGTGCCAGAACGGGTGTTTTCCTCGTAGGCTTTTCGGCACCATGTGTCAGGGAAAAAGGAGGCAGATTTTGTTGGGGAGGAGTCAGACATCTGTGGGCATAGAAGGATAGTTTCACTTTTAGCAAACACGATACATAGGTTCAAATATGGCATGAACATAAATGCCAGAGGTTGCTCAGGAACAGGGAAATAATCGAAATGGGGATGTCAATGTGAAAGACTATACAGTAGTATGGGCTGTTTGAAGCTGTTGGCAATTTGCTTGTGAGGCAACAACAAAAAATAAAGCTGTTTCTTTTTCTTGACAAAGCAGAATACTGTTTTTAATATGTTTGAGACATGAAATAGAAGCTCTATTATCTACTGTATAAACAATCCATGTAGCAGCAAATTTCGATGCTGAATATCTGATATTTGCATCTCTTTCCTTCCAGCAAGCATCCCTAGTCTGATCCTTGGCTGGAAGCTTTCTTATGTTCTCCAAAGATATGACTAGATTTTTTCTTGGAACTCCAGCTTCCTCCCACAGTTACAAAACATGTATGTTCAGTTAATTGGTTTTTCAAATGAAGCTAGGTGTTGTGTGGGTTTCTTTGTTGGTCCTGTGATAAACTGGCAACTTGTCCAGGGCCCATCTTGCCTCATGTGTGTAAACTGCTTGAATAATATGAACCCCCTGTGCCTCTAAGCAGGAAAACTGAGCAAAGTAAATTGGTCAGGGGTTGAATATAGATGAGCAATACCACTTTAAGACAGCAATATGCTGACTAAACATGATCAACCTGCCACTTTTTATTGAGGGACTCTGATGAAGTTCAATTATTTATTGGATGCACTGGTCTGTAACTGAACCAAGCGGCAGAATAGACCCTGATACTATGACCATGTGCTTTGATGCATAAATAAGGATAATCTTATAATTCAATTTTCTGTTAGACTAAAAACTGCCACCTCTGTCAGAACCCTACAGCATATTTCTCTTAAAATCAGAATCTGCATTTCAGACCCAAAATGAAACCAGAAATCAGCATCTTTGCATTTCTACTGCATACAATTACTCTGATGAAAACTAATAACACAAAGACTATTATTGCATAAAGACTCCAAGAAAAGCTATATAAGAGTGAAAAATGATATTTGTGAGACCGTGTAAGTGATGCTTGATCAGACCAAGAACCCATAGAAGCAGTAACATGTTTGTGAACACTTTTCAATTAGAGATTCTAAAGTGTCTGAAAATGCTCCAATAAAGTAAATACAGATATTCTTTTTCCTGATCTATTCGCTGTTTCCAGGCCAGAATCGACATACTGTATTTCCAGCATGTTCTAGTTCTACACTGGGGTCTCCTTCTTCCAGTGGAAATGGTAAAATTCAAATGTAAGCGCTGAGGTTGAATCATCTCATCGGATTCCTTTTGTTGAAATGGCAAAGAGAGAAGATTCAGAAAAAAAAGGTGAGCTCATAACCATGGTCCAGAATGTTAAACAACATCCTGGTGGCAAGGGCATGAAAAGAACAAAGATATGTCCAGAGATACTAGAGGCTCTGAACATTAAGGGGATGTATTGTTGACACACCTCTTTAAAGTCTGGGTTTCATATTTCCTTTTGGAGGACATGTCATTCAGCCGGCATGTTTGGGTAATGACCTTTAGTGCAGGCATGAATGTACTAGAATGACAGTCATTTCTTATCGTTTTGAGCACATGGCTCTGAATCAGAAAATATTGGACAGTTCCCTCCAGGTATTTGGTCTCTGGTTCAAGAGAAGGATTTAATGTAGCTTGGTGTCTTGAAGAGTGACCGTAGATTGGAAAAGGGGCAAATAGCAGAAATTTATTGAGCCATTGTACACTGATCTGATTATGTAAAAGACTGAGCCACGTAAAACAGAGAACCAGATTTTTTATGCTGTATTACAGATTTACTAAAATAGTGAGTCCAGGGCCAATAATTCTAAGGCCATAATAAAGCAGCAATGTACACAACCCCTGACAAAAAATATGGAATCACCGGCCTCGGTGGATGTTCATTCAGTTGTTTGATTATGTAGGAAAAAGATTACAGAGATGCTACCAAACTAAAGTCATTTCAAATGGCAATTGTCTGACTTTAAAACACACTAAAATAAATTAAGAAAAATATGGTGGTCAGTAACGATTACTTGTTTAGACAAAGAGGGAAAAAAATGGAATCACTCAATTCTGAGGAAAAAATGATGGAATCACCCTGTAAATTTCCATCCCCAAAACTAACACCTGTATCAAATTAGACCTGCCCATTAGTCTGCATCTAAAAAGGAGTGATCACACCTTGGAGAGCTGCTGCACCAAGTGGACTGACATGAATCATGGCTCCAACAAGAGAGATGTCATGAAACAAAGGAGAGAATTATTAAACTCTTAAAAGAGGGTAAATAATCATGCAATGTTGCAAAAAGATGTTGGTTGTTCGGTCAGCTGTGTCTAAAATCTGGACAAAAAAAAAAACCCGGCATGGGAAGGCAGACCAGGGAAAACGTCAAAGCATTAAGACAGAAAACTCAAAGCAATATGTCTCAAAAACAAAAAAAATGCACAAAAGAAAAACAAATGGGAGGAAACTGGAGTCAATGTCTGTGACCAAACTATAAGAAACTGGCTAAAGGAAATGTGACTTACATACAGAAAAGCTAAACGAAAGCCATCATTAACACCTAAACCGAAACAAACAGGTTACTACAGGCTAAGGAAAAGCAATGGTGGACTGTGGATGACTGGAGGAAAGTCTTATTCAGTGATGAATCTCAAATCTGCATTGGGCAAGGTAATGATGCTAAAACTTTTTTTTAGTACCGTTCCAATAAGACTTATAAAGATGAGTGCCTGAAGAGAACATGCACATTTCCACAGTCATTGATGATATGGGGCTGCACATCAGGTAAAGGCACTGCTGAGGTGGCTGTAAGTAAATCTTCAACAAATGCACAAGTTTATGTTGAAATTTTTGACACTTTTCTAATCCCATCAATTGAAAGGATGTTTGGGGATGATGAAAAAAAGTTAAAAAGTGAAAAAAGTTTAGAAGATAATAATGCATCTTGCAATAGAGCAAAAACTGAGAAGACATTCATTTAAAACAGACACATAAGATCAATGCCATGTCCTGTAAATAGTCCGGATCTTGATCCGATTGAAAATCTATTGTGGAAGTTGAAGAAAATGGTCCATGTGAACACTCCAACCTGCAAAGTTAGACCCAGATTGATGAAGAGTACTGTTTGTCACTCATTAAGCCCATGCTTCAGAGACTGCACGCTGTTAGAAAAGCCAGAGGTGGTGCAACAAAACGCTAGTGATCTATGGAGCGTTCTTTTGTTTTTCATGATTCCATCGTTTTTTTCCTCAGAATTGAATGATTCCATATTTTTTCCCCATCTACTTGGTCTAAATAAATAACCTTTGGTGTCTACCACATTATTTTTCTTGATTTCCTTTAGTGTGTCTTAAAGCCAGACAGTTGCCATTTGAAATGACTTTAGTTTTGTGTCATGTCTGTGATCTGCTTTTTTCTACAAAATTACACAACTAAATTAACACCCTCCAAGGTTGGTGATTACATATTTTTTGCCAGAGGTTGTAAATGTAAAGGAAAGCTCAGTCATTTACTATATGGAAGGTTTGTATAACTCAACCCAGTGTAGTAAATTGAAGCTAATCAGGCTGTAGATAGAAGGCAGAGACTTAGGGTGGGAGTTAGAGAATAACACCTGACTTGGGGTGATAATTAAAGAGATGAAGCTGTGATGAATTAAAACCCATTGTTGTGACACCATGAGCAGTGAAGTATGCGTGGACACAAATCTAATGAGAGCTGTCATCAGGTTTTATATTTATTAGTGGCTGAGAATTGAACCAGACAACACTCTAGTGTAGCAGGGTGGTGCAGGGACTGAATGGGTAAGCTTTTAGATTTTCCTTCCTTACTCATAAAGAAGCATCAACTCATCTGGAATTTAGAAATAAAAACCTACCCCATGTTTTCTGCTCCGGCTGCTCCTCTCCTTAGTCCCCGACAGTGAAGTCATGTTGGAGGTAAGAGGATGGGGAAGGATGAGGAAGAGGAGGAGGAGGAGAAAAACCTTCTGCCGCTGCTTCACATTCAAAAAAACAAACCAGTGGATCGATTTCAATTAACTAGACGCTCCTGCAGGTCGCTTGAGGTACACCTTACGCCGTGGCCAGATGCATGTGGTAGAGGGGTGATCCCCATTAAGCTGGCAGGGAAACAAAACAGGCTCCTTTGCCTCCTCTGTTTGGTGGAAATTTAAGCACAAATAGTTGAATGGCTGAGAAAAGACGCACAGGTCATGCGGCAGATTGCGCTGCGCGCTGAATGAAATCCCTGCTCAGCGCGCTGGAGTGGCACCGCGCTCAGCCCTGCCTCTCTCCATCAGCTCTCAAGCTCAACGTGTTCAGGTAAACCTGACTCCTCCAGGATGAAGTCCAGCGAGCCGATGAGAAAAATAGAACATGTTCAAAACATTTTAAAATGAACCAGATAAAAAAAAACAGCTTAGCAACATTAGTCTGCCCGTCGCTCATGAGACTTTAAATGGACTCATGCGCACTCTCCTGTTGACTTCCCTTCAGCCCGCACTCTGCTGCAGCAGCGATGGACTGAGGAGCGCGACTCACATCTGGATGAGGGCGGGGCCAACCTGCCCCTCATCCACCTCAGGCCAATCACACATCCAAAGGTTCCATATATATATATATATA